ACAGGCACGGGCAATTCATCGTATGCTACTAATACTTTGACTACAGTGCCCACTCCGCAACCTACAACTACTACTATGGCACAGTTCAGCCTGCACAAGACCCCACATTGCCTGGTCACACTACCAGATCACAATGCTACGTCAAGTGAGAAGTATGTTGCGTTGATCGACACAGGCAGTTATGAGAGCATGATCTCTCATAAGCTTGTCGCCGAACTTGGTCTACCTATGAAGTATCTAGACGTGCCCTACACAGCCTACATTATGAATGGCGAATGCATTATGTATCATGCAACTGTTACACTTACATGGCGGTTCGCGGATAGCACCGACATCGAGATCAACTCCACCTTCCTGGTCTCCCCTCGTCTACCCGAACCATTCCAATTCGTATTCGGCTCCGACTTGCAAAATTCTAAGGGGTTCTACTACAACCCTGTCATCCAGAAGCTGGTTATTGTTGGGGAAATTCCCCCTGTACAGCATTCCGATGACGATGGTGCATCAGGCTCTGCGGTCGAGCTAAGTCTCACAACAGCCTCGGATTCATCATTCGTCTTGCAGAATTCAGATACTACCGGGCGAGATAATCTACGAGCTAGTAAATCTGAGAAGACCAATCTCACTGAGGCACCCTCACCTTCCGAGACCACAGTCGTTCTGGAGACTCCCCACTTCATCATAACTGCTACCCAAGACCCCGACGACCTTCAGACGAATGTCTTCACTGTGGATATCAAAGCTGCGAGTATGCCTGCTCGAAAGGCTCGCCCAAATAAACTCTCGCATCATCATCCCCTCAACAAACCAGATGCTACAGACCCTACGTTGTTCGATGAGACTCGAGCCCGATTGGAAGGCCTCATTCAAAGAGGATGTTTGGCTCCTACAACCGATGACGATGACGGCTTTATGTACCTTACCACGACATATTATGGCGTACGAGGATCGAAGAGGGCACGACCCGTATTCCCCTTCAGGAAGCTCAATGATGAGACCGTGCAACTTCTCAAGGATTGCCCTGTCCGACAGGATCCGTTGTACTCCATTCTTGACGCTACAAGAGGGTATGGCACTTTGAAGCTGATGGATGTCTCGGATGCATTCTTCCGCATCCGGACGGGCCCCAACCTACGACAAATAATGACGGTGTTTATCGACGGTCAGCGATTCTTCTTCTGCAACCTACCCTACGGGCCTAATTTTTCGCCATTCGTCCTACTCGCATGTATGTCCCATATTTGTACCACCGCGAAGTCACCTTACAACATCAAATATTATATGGACGATGTCGCTACGGACCATCCACATCCTCAACAGCTGCAGCAGCTCTTCGACAAGTATCACTTCCCTACTACTCTGGTCGACGTATCTACGGTTCAAGTTGCCCCTTTCTTAGGGCTCCAAACTGTCGATCATGGCCGCTCCCTTCGCTATAGCGACAGAGGATGGGCGAGTTTCATTACTCACGAGCTCCCTAGCAACCCATCCTTGCGGGACGCACTAACATTGCTAGGGAAGGTTATGTCTCTTCCCGAGGTCTTGCCCTTCTTCTTGCTACCAATTCGCAACTTACTACAGTCTCAAGTGGCGAAATGCCGCCATCTTCTTTCGTCTTGGGATGCAAAACTACCACCACACTTATTGAATATGCTGCGAGAATTTCATGAAGCTTTCAAAGAAGCCACCCCTCCGATCATCCACCGCCACATCGA